CCAGGCCCCATTCCTTCCCCTACATGGCATATATTCGTGGCCGAACTTCAGTGGCTCTCAAAACTTGTGGAGGATTCCTGGTGCGAGAAGACTTTGTCCTGACAGCGGCTCACTGCTTGGGAAGGTGAGGAACTAAGGACCTTCCGGCAGCCAGTAAGGCAGACCCAGAAGAGTTCATGAGGGGATCCATCTGTTAGCAGGGTTCTAGCCAGGAAGGGGTCAAAAACAGACCAGGTGGGTCTTGGGGGCAGGGGGTGGCCAGTGCAAATGGGGAGAAAAGGAGGATGTGATTGAAAAGGAGCAAGAGAGGGAGATCGAAGGCACACATTGGGGCTCAGAATAGGGATTTAAGTTCTTTCTCTGTTATTCTGGGGGAGGCAAAACTTAAGACCTCTGCGTCCCCCCATCCCCAGCTCAAGGCTGGGGCACAGATCACTCAGCCCCAACCCCACCCTGCCCTCAGTTCCCTCAGCTGCAGTCTCCTGCCTGGGCTGTTCCCCTGGCCTGCAGAGCTGCAGACTGAGCTCCCGCAGCAGCTCATGCCTACCTCTAGCCTCCCTTCCTCTGCAGCCAAATGAATGTGATCCTGGGGGCCCACAACATCAGCAGGTCTGAAAGCACCCAGCAGCAAGTATCTGTGCGCAGAGCCATCCGCCACCCCAGATACAATCAGCAGAACAACCAGAACGACATCATGTTACTGCAGGTACCGCCTGCCTGACCCTCTGCTTCTTCAGCCCACGTGGCTGCTCCCAGCTGGAGCTTCATGGGTCCGGGACCAGGGAGGTGGAAGCAGGGGCAGATGCCCAGGGCACTGGTGGGCAGGGGGTGAGGTCGGCATACGTGGTCCCTGAGTGCCTGCCCTCCCCCGGCCAGCTGGCGAGCAGAGTCAGGCGGAATCGAGCCGTGATGCCAGTGGCCCTGCCTCAGAGCCGGAGCAGGCTGAGTCCGGGGACCGTGTGCACCGTGACCGGCTGGGGCCTGGTCGGCCTGAACAGGAGGACAGACACACTCCGGGTTGTGCAACTGAGAGTGCAGGAGGATCAGGAGTGTCACAGACGCTACAATTTCTACACTGGCCAAACGCAGATTTGTGTGGGGGACCCAACAGAAATGAAGTCTGCCTTCCTGGTAAGACCATGGGCATCACCAAACCCTGCGTGAGACAGAGGGGGCTGGGCAGACTGGGTACTGGGGACAGACTACATCTCCGTGGCCTCAGTCTGGAACCCAGACCAGAGTGAGGTGGGGGCTTTTCCCATCAATCCTGTCTCTGGGGACCAGGAGGAGCAGCAGACACACAGGACACACATGTGCAGCCTTCTCCTGGGGAGGGTGAAGGTACCTTGACCTGGGTTGCCTGGAGAAGTAACCTCAGCCAGGGCTGAAGGCCAGTGATGGAAAAATCCAGAAGCTTGACTTCTGTACCCCCACCACCCTCCCATCTCACACACACCCAGCAATGGAAGGAGCCCACCCACCCCTGTCTTCTCTGAGGGCCAGACCTAGGGCAGCAGGAGTGGGAGCCCTGGAGGAGGGAGGCCTGGCTTAGCGTCCCTTCCTCTGTTTCCACAGGGAGACTCTGGAGGCCCCCTGGTGTGTAACAGCATGGCCCAGGGCATTGTCTCTTATGGAAACCGGTTGGGAACTCCTCCAGCAGTCTTCACCAGGGTTTCCAGCTTCCAGCCCTGGATAAGGAGAACAATGAGACGCTTTGCAAAGCGGGGACCAGACTGAGACCCCACTGAGACTGACTCTTTCTGGGGCAGAGGCCAGCTCCAGGGTGGTTCCCAGAGCCTTAATAAATGTCTAAGCCTAGAACCGAAATAACTGATTTCTCATTCGTTCGTAAACATGATTCAGAACACAACAAATGTACACCAGGACTGAGTCTGAGCTCCTCCCGGAAAATAGGGTCTCTTGCCCAGGACATGCGAACCCCTGTCCCCACCGCCCTGGGGGTCAGGATGAGCGTCCTCCCTTCCTCTGTCACTCCTCCACCCACAGCCTCAGGGAGTGATGGAAAGACATCTCTCTCCCCAGAGCAAGGCTCCTGATTGTTACCCTCCCAGAGACTCCCCGCTAGGTGTTAAGGTGTACCCCAAGCCGTGTGCCATCGGCGTGGGTAGGACAGGCCGACCAAAGGAACAGAACTGAAATTCCATACGCGGCCCACTTTAACATGTGGTACACGTGGCGTCTCAGATCACTGGGAAACAGTGAACTCTTAATAGAAGCTGTCTAAACAAACTGATAGTCATTTGGGGAAAAAAGATAAAGTTGGATCCGGGCTTCTCATCATAAACCGAAAAAACACCTCAAATGGGATCAAAGAGCTAAATGTGAAAAATCAAACCACGCGAGTACTAGAAGGAAGATAAAAAATTTACCTTCGTAAAAATATCTAACAAACACCCATGTTGAAAGCAGCGCTATTCACAGTGGCCAAGAGATGGGAGCAACCCAAGTGTCTACGGACAGCTGGACCCTTTCTCCTAAGCCCTTACCCACACCAGCCCCCACTGCGCTCTCAGCCAGTGTTCTCATTTTCAGTGTGACGAGGGTCTCCTTCTGGTTTTGTCAACCTAAAATTATACAAAACTCTACACAATGTGTTCACTAAAATAAAATGACTTTTATGCTAAAGAATAGCCCATGACTAACTACATCAATGTGATAATCAAATAAAAGTTCTGAAGTCACACAATTTAAACCTATACTTTTAACACCTTGAGGGAACGGGAAAGAACCAGCTGGGAGGTTCTTCTATGTCCATCAAATGTTGACTACTCCTCACGTTGTGAATTTTGCCATCTGAACTTCTGCAGTTTCCATAATCTTAAATGGAATAATCACTGAACACAAATCAAATGGAAAGTGCACTGCCCTGGGAGTTTGCTGGGGACCAGGTCGGTGCTCCGGGCCTCCTGCAAATGTCAGAAGGAGGAAGGGCTGCACAGAACAGGGCTCTTCCTCTGTCCTTTCCTCCCCCTTCCACCAGCAAGCGTGCTTTCCATGTGCCATGCAAACATCTAATAATGAGACTGTTCTCCTTGAGAACATATAAGTGAGAAGTAATTCCTATTCGTAGGTGGTGGCAAATATAGCAAAAATGACTGAGTATTGACAAAGATGTATTGTTGATTAAAATTTTGTCAATAAATCCTTATACTGAACACTAGGCAAATGACTTTCTGACAAGAAATGTCTATAAAAGAATGATCAAATTTACCAAAGCATTTCTATGTATAGCCAGTTGGATTCCAAAAAGTTTCATTTTGAAAAAAAAAATTCATTTGGATGTCAATTTAAAGAAGATTGCATTTAAACGGAGTAACGAGACAGCTAGGAGTGAAACTAGAATGTTCTGATCCGCAGTCAGATGCATTATCCATTGTGACACTGGCTCCCCATTGTCAGTTGGATTTGATATCTGTTTATA